CTCCCGATCTCACCTACCCCCGGGGAATAACCCCCTTACCGTTCGTGCTATATGGAGCGCCGGGAACGAATAGAGGAGCGACAGAAAGCGCGGAGCACGGCTATATACGAGCGGCGAGCTGCGAGCTAAGGGTACGGCTCCAATCCGAGAATTCCTCTGCTTTCTTCGCCGCGTTTCTTCTCTTTTTCCGCCTCCTTCCGGCGACCGCCACCCTCCCACGCTCCGCTCGACTGTCCTCCCGGCAGCTCGACGTGCCGGGGTTCCTGTACTGCGCGGGGGTAACGCGCGCATCCTTGAAAGCTGTCTACGGCGAATGGTACCCGGGGCTGGGGCTAGATTTGTAAAAATAATGCTCCGGCCGGGCCGGGGGATCGCGGGCACGACAGACGACGCGAGGGCTGGATGAGTTTTTTGGCAACCGATAAAGGCCGTCAACAGTTTACCTGGACGCATTGATGGTGATCTCTGAATTGTCTTTCGGGAGGAATTTGGGCTAGTTTCTGTGTATGATCGGTATTGATACGTTCGTTGGATATACTGAATTGTGGAGTAACAGATTCCTAATGCGTTTTGTAGTTTGTTTTCGAGGACTATTGTTAAAGGATATTTGAAAATGGTATTGTACTAATACCGGAGAAGTGAATCGGTTATTTTCCTTTTTCGTATCGATTCATAGCGACGTCAGGGTTGATGTTTTCAACGAAATGAAATATTGAAGTATTCTTGAAATTTCCAAAGAAAGATATGAGTTGCGAGTGGTGTGCTTATTCCTCTCTTATAGGGGATGGATTCGATGCGAGGATTCATCTTTTATTGTAACGCACAGTTTACGATAAAGAAGAGAAAAACGGCTGCTTTCCAATTACCCGTGCATTCAGCGAGATCGTGTAATGATAAGAATAATATGTTTTTCAAGGAAATCCTAATACGAGTACAATATTCAAATGCGCAACGGAGAGACTCTTGCTGCTCTCGGAGTTGTACTTTCGAGGGCTGTAAAGTTCCGGGCTCGATGCGTTCATATTTACTAGTTTGCGATATTATGGCCGTGTTATCGGCGGATCGTATTTGTTGGTCAATCGCCGCTCGTAAACCTGCAGAACTGACCTCGATGATCCCCCGCACGGAAAACGAAAGTGAACTGGTTTCTCGCCGAAATCCCACTCCTGAAAATGTGGCCATTCGTATGATCGGCCGTATCTGTGCATCCCCTGTAACGGCCCCCAGAAACGTCTTTTAATATACACTATATCTTCGAAGGGCCCGGGGAATATCCCTTCGTTCCTCCCTACTGGTGAAAATACACAAGTTGGTCGCCTTAAATCCATCATTACGTGTGTATTAACCTCGTTCGCCGTTCCCTTTACACCCTCTTCCTCGATAAGGGCGAACGTTTCTCACGTTACCTTCGATAACTTCCGGTTAATGCGTTCTTCATTTCTTTACTTACCCCCTGAAAACGCGGAAACATCCTAGATTGCGATAGAACACTGATTCAATCCGGACACTTATAATAAGAAGGAAAACGAATAGAGATCACACGTTAATAATAAAATAGGTGCTATTATATTTAATAATTGACGCATTCTCGGTGACTAACATAATTTTACATCTTAGCTTTTAGGGAAGTGACAAGTGATTTTTTAGAAATAAATATTTGTGCTTGAATTAAAATGATTAATGTAACTACATGTTATGCTGAACAATCTGAGCTGAAAAATCAGAGGGGCAGGGGAAATCTTCTACTCGCGATGTTTGAGTCTCCTCGAAAAATCCGCCATTATAAGGGGCGGCGCATAATGATCCTTTTACGTATCATTTTATGAAAACATAACTATTGTACTTATACATGCACAAAATACATTTCCAGAAGAGACCCCTTGCTCCTCTGTCTTTGCAGCTTGTTGACATTCGGCCTACTCGGAGAACGACTATACACAAAACAGAAGGGATTTATGCAAATGAGGAGTTAACTCCGTTTTTCAGTCGACGGGTTAAGAATACAATACATAATTCGATTTTTTGAAGAAATGAATAAATGATACGTTACCGTGTGTTATCGACATATTGAGAGGTTACTTCTTCATCGTTCGGGTATATTCATCAATTATTCGTGTGCGTCGTTACGTCGTCTTTTTCAGAAAATATTCCTCATAGGAAATCGATAGTATGGTTAATAACAGCGCTGAACGGAGCGTGGTATTTTTTCGTTTATTCTTAGCGAGAAATCAAGAGCCGTATCGAACGGTCACACCCGTCGCGTTTGTCAGAAGAAAATATAATGCAATATCGGGACTATTTTAAGCAGCGAGAAATCGTTCCTACGAAAACGAAGCAACACGGAGAGGATGATCGACGATGGGACGTACAACACACGAGTTGAACACCAAGGAAGTCTGCACGCCGCAGGACGGCTCTCCTCGGCTTATATTGGTGCAGATTAATTTAATTTTCTTCAATTAATTGGTAATTAAGATGTTTAGCGTTATGCGAAAGAGTCTAGTCCCTGTTTCCCCCTAACACCCCTATCTTTTGGATTCGCGTCCCTCTCTACACTTATTGACCCATCTTCGCTCTATCTAATCTACTGCCTGCTTTCTTCTATTGTGTTAAATCATTTTCCGAAGGCTAATTAAAAAGCGTCAGGGGTAGATAATCTGCGTTTCGCGATGTAAGTAACATTTCATAGGCATTCATTCGTTGCAAAATGAATTGCTTGAAATCTTTACGTGCTCCTTTCTACGTGCTTTACTTATTGTTACAATAATTCGCTTCCTTGTTTCTAATAATTTCAATAATTATAGGTATCAGACGGTGAAGGAATATCGTGAATAGAATATATAATCAACGCAATTTTATTTACAAAACGATAAATTTAACAAAACTCCAATTAATATACAATACTTCGCCGTTATTTGATAAATAAAAAAAATCGCTTTCGTATACATATATCACAATAAAATACAAAGTTCGCTTTGCATTTTTGGAAACGGTTAAATACAACTTAATGATGATCATGAAAATAATGATGACAATATTAAGACAATGAGACGATGATAGCTAGCGAAACCGTCGCTATATAACGCAAATTTGAGTTCGCGCTTTGAACGATACAAAAAACGATAACCAATTAGAAATTAGAAATATCAAAGAAAAAGTTTGGTCTTATAGCGTCCTCTAGGAATCATATTGACAAATAATATGCGAAGACTTATTTATCATAGGTATAAATAATTCTCTAGTTTTCGAACTAACGTATCAGTAGTCGGTAAATTCTCAGCAATCGATGAAATTATCGCATCTTTACCAATGTACGATATTCCCTACGAATAGACTACTCTATTCACATAGTCGGTCGTTACTCACTGCTGGTAACGTCGAAAATGCAAGGTATACTACATTCAGAATCGTAATACCACCGTTAATACTACGGATTTCCATTCATTAACCGATAATTGTGCCGCAATTCGTATCTGATCAAATCCGCCAATCTTCGTAACGCCTGAAAAGAAATTTCCAAAAATTAATAACTTCGTATCCATCTGATAGTAATCATAATTCGAAAGAAAATATAATAACCGATTACTCCTCATAATATGTATTACATACAAATCAACTTTAAAGTAAAATTCGATTTCTCAGAAAGGAATAACGTGTCGAAGAATTATCGTAAATTACATATTCGTAAAAGACTTGTTCCAGCTTACCAGATCCATCTCTTCGTAAGAAGCTTTTGCAAAGCTCGCTCTGACAGCATTGCAAGGTTTAGTGGTATCCTTCATGAAGGCTCCGCCGGGCGCCATTATTACGCCTTCCTTAACTCCTCGCTGCATGATCATCTTCCAAGTATCCTGGATGCCTCGTACTTTGATCCAGAGGAAGAATCCTCCCTTTGGCAGAGTGAAGTCTGCCAAACCTGCACAGCAGAGAATCGACGTCACTTCCTTTGATATAATACTATTGAAAATTTAATTAGCTCCGAACAATCTCTGTGCAGCGATACTAATTATAAGACGACTGTTCTCGAACCTTCTACCGACGGTAATTGCTATTAAATATAGTTAAATGAATTTCACTTCGTTCATCGTACATTATGAAGAACTTTATTTTCATGTAATGAACGTAATGGATGATATAAAATACGAAACAAGAATCTTCGTTGAATGTTATTATATCTATATTTTAATAATGAAACACAGAATTGCAAAACGAATTTGTAAATATTTCTTTAAGTGTTTCGCAATAAATATTAGATAGCTGTGAAAATGACACCGTGTATCACAGTTCTTTCGCAAAGAGGCTCATCGAATAATGATATGCCGGACAATCAAATCAGTCGGGTGTAAATTAATTATTGTTACGTACCGTTCAAGTGTTTTTCTGCGAGCGCCGCGATAACGTCCCTGCGCTGCTTGTAGAAATACCTTATACTCATGAAATGGTCTATTAGTCCATCGTATCCCCAGGCTTTCATTAATCTGTACATTATCACCTGGAAACAAAAGGATATTAATTACACAAATTAATCTAAATACGCCAATTACTTTAACACTCTTCATTTAGAATTTTATTGGCTTCTCAACAGATTTCGTTCATTTACTTGACCAATGATAATAGTAAATAATTTACTGATCAAACATTGCACTCTTATTTATTTACCTTTACCCTTAATTAACGCGTTCAAAATGATATGTGAATGTAACAATAATTCTCAAATATTGTTCCGACACAAACATTTGAATATTTCTAATAACATTTCAAAAGAGTAATATTTAACAATCCACTTATATTTATTTCCTAACCGTATCCTACTAATATAAAATTAATATAGAATTAATACTTTTCCCTAATTACCATTATTATATTGAAATACACGTATATCATCTAAAGAATATCTGTCGGTGGACGTCTCACACGTAAAACGGCGAGATCGATAAAAATTTCATGTACTTCGTGTATCTCGAAGTCATCAGAATTTTTATAGACTCGATCATTTTAGATTTTTCACCGCCTGCATCATCGTGGCGGACGCGAAGACATTTTTTCCCCCGTTAGAGTCATTAAAAGTGATCAGTGTTTACATTCCCGATAAGAGCGGACACGCGCCGCTGTCGGTACAGCAAACGCGCGCGCCGAGCGATAAGCGCGCGGAGCGTGCTAGCTGTTCCGATATGTTTCACTATGTTTCATCATAATAGGGGGAGAATAATATTTACGACGCGCGTTCGGCCGTCCCCGCATCACAAGATTCGAGACTATCTTTATGAAGCGTGCAGTGACATGAGTTTTATTGACGATCGGGACATTATCGATGCATATAATTTATCGCTGCAACTTTTTATTGGCTTGGTAACAATTGGGCAAGACACTTCGCAGCTTCGTTAACGGTTTCCGTTGCTGGGAGATGAATTTCAAAATGTACATTTCACAAATTTGAATTCTGAATATTTGTACAATTAAAACTGAGGTGCTTCGTTGGCTTAATAGATCGAGTAAAGAATTATTTCATAAGAAAGATCCGAAATATAGACTTACGCAAGTCTAGGCGTTAGATACAATGTACTTTTATCAGAAGCAGCGGACTATGAAATCAGCAAGCTGAAGGTCTTGTCGAAAAAGTTCCATTGTGAACTTTCTTTTTTCAGATGTAATTAATAATGATAGGAAAAAGTAGCAGAGGTCATCTTTTCTGGTCAAAGTCCTTTTGTTACATCGATAAGATAAGATACGAATATTTGTTAGAACTCCGATCAAATGTTTTAACTTCCTACACGAATTCATATGCGCCTAGGTTTTGGTTTTCTTCCTTTTTAAACATTGAATCTTCATTTGGTTTGATCTCTATGAATTGAAGTTTAATTGAATTTTTCATTTCTATCGCCAATTTTCTTCAGAAGCCGTAACGATATCGATTGCCGAGAATAAGGGTGAGGGTAAACCACCCTACCAACCTGTGATAATGTAGGGGCATGGAGATGGCTGCTCTGCAAGTGGAGTTCTATGCTCGCGATTAACGGCGCTGCTGCTGTGATGAATCCTAATCTAATACCGCTGCTGATCACTTTCGAAAAGGAGTCCAACCTTATTACACGGCATTCCGTGTCCAACGACAAGAACGATTTAGGTTCTTCCTGTGAAAGAGATCAATCGAATCATACAGTCGCTGACTCGCTAAATCGTTAGCTAAACAACAAGTTCATTAAGCAATTAATTGATGAAGGAAAAACTTTCCTCGTTCGTATCATAAATCTCAAACATTAAAATTTTAATTACTAGATTACTCTAGATTGCTGACGTTGATCGATTATTTATAATAAAGTTCATTTTTCAAATTCATTTAATTATTATTCTATTAATTTCCCGGATTAATTTCATTGGATTCGTATTCTAAGCTTAAGCAAATCTCTTTCTGAAAAATGGTCACTTACATCTTCAAAGTGCATGAAATGGTAAGGATCGTCGTCAAGGATCAAGAAGTTGTAGTCACAGGCAATACTGTATATCTCCTTCCGCCTTTCGAGCGGGATAACAACGCCGGTGGGATTGGTCCCGGTGGCGTTTATGTACATGAGCTTGGGCATTTTCTTGCCGGCGAGTTCCCTGTTTCTCAACGTTTCCCGGAGAATCTCCGGGATGACACCGTGCTCATCTTGCGGGATGGGGATCAATTCTGCCTTATAGGGCGCGACCTGTAACCGAGAAACGGGATGTCAGTAGAGTTCGTCTCGATCATCTCCCAACACATGAAACTAATCACCTAATGAACTCTGACACGGTGCACCTCCGATTACGTAAACTGTATTTCGTTTTGACTATGTGTTACCGCGATTATCGGCAGCGTGGTTAACCGATAACACTCGTTAATCACTTCACATAATGCTTACGATGATAGTGGCACGAAGCGTGACGTATTTGCAACAGTTAGATAATTGTTTAATACTAATCTACATTTTCCATTCGTCAAAACATTCATAGGTTAGGTAAATCAGTTGAATCGCTGAATCGGTAAATCACTAATCGATTATTCGCAATCAATGGTCCATCCCGAAAACGATGACGTCAATTTACATAGCCCGCGATAACATTGAGAAAAATGCCTGTTCTCGTACAAAACAGATCAGCGTAATTGTTTTTTCCATCGAAACAGAGTCACGCGTATTCACGATTAGCTTCAATGTTATTCTAATTTATCAGACGTTTCACATTTTCTGAAGGAAAAATGGAACTTTTAAGAAATCGCTGCCCTCCAATTCAGTCTCGCGATACTTCGTAGCGATAAGAGATACTTCCTTTGATTTGTTTCAGTCTGTCGACTAGAAAACAGTTCAATTCGATAACAGTTTTCTGAAATTTACCTTTTTCCCGTTTCCTTTCTAGACGTCCCGCATTAATTGTGTTCCAACGTATATATCAATTGAAATTATATCAGAGTTACATTATCGCTGCTAGGTGATCGACATTACATCGTTATTTGCCCGTAATTCGCCGATGCGGATTTTTATTGAGGAAATAGCGCAATTAACGTTTCACATAAAAATTCCAATTAACTGTGAACTCCTGTACACTTTGTGCACGGAGAAAATAATGGAGAAAATAATGCAATTTCCGTCTGTTTCGAAAAGTTGGAATCTTTTTTGCGGCATTTTCTTTCTTTTTTTTCATTCATAACCGGTTCTCGGATGTCTGAATAAAATCGGAACGAGGACGAACGGGTGAAATAGAAAACGGTGAAGAAATTACTGACCACAACTTCCACGCCCGGATAAAAAGGATCGTGCACCAAGAGCGGATCACCGGGCCCGATTATAGCCTCGAGAGTTTTGCTTAATCCGTCCTGAGCTCCGGAGACGATCACAATGTCGCGGCTCTCCCACAAGGGAGGTGCGTGCGCCCTTCGCTGGAACTCCCTCAGGCTCTGAAACCAATTTAATATTCAACGTCGTTAAACATATTGGGGGCAATTGCATTACGCCGGGGGAAAAGGAAGGAAAAATTGCAGCGACTTGAGAGGAGACGCGCGACTGCGTGGCGGTCGGCAATAAAGAAAAATCGTTCCCCCAGAATCTCATAATACGCGAGATTTTAACGTGTTTTTCTCTTGCTACGCGGGGAGAACATTGTTCGGCGAACGTGCAACCACACTTTTACAAATTAATTCGAATAACGAGCAGAATAAGAATATTCTTTACACGTTAAGGGCCAAACTATTCAATCTACTTTTGAAGTTTCTAAATATTTTGTGTACGCGATGTTTCTGATTTTGAACCGAGAGAATGTTGAAAATTAGCCTTGGTGGTTGCTGGTTATTAATTCGAAAAGGTTTACCGAGTAATCGCTGATTAAAGTATTTTGATAAAGGTTGACACTTTCCATGCTGCTGGTGTTTATTCGACGGTTTAATTTGAAATAACATGCCGAGGACTACACAGCTGAATTGAAATAGTTTAAACTAATCTATTCGTGTTCTTTGTGTTATGTACATATGTCAAAGTTGGAAGCGCTGAAAATCTTGCAGTCTAAATTACCAGAAGATGAAGATCAAAGCTCACGGGTTCTTGGTATAGTATAACTGAAGTTGATTATTAGTTAATTACCTGAAGAAGCGGCGGGTAACCCTGCGTGGGAAGGTACTGCAGCGCGACGGCCAGGTCCCTCTCTTCGAGGGTGAACGAGGATCCATCCTTAAGTTTGACGGAGATTTCAGTAAACGGGAACGTTTTCTCGTTCGGCATTCCCTCGGCCAGAGACACCACGTTGTTCCCCGCGGAGTACGCTATTTTCGCTGCAATGAGTTACACAAAGAAGCATTTAAAATCAGTCGGTTGATCGTTGAAAATCGAATTAAATCGATAAAATCGACTTCTTACTTAATTCCCTGGTGGTCGCGGACCTCCTTTGTTTAGAGACCTCAGTTTTAAAACTGGAGTAATCCATATTGAATTTCTCTCTGATTTTTTGCATCCTTGAAACCGTATGAACCGTCGAGGAATTCAACGCTCGAAGTTCGAGATCGTAACGAATATTGATTGGAACAAATACAATATGAGATCGTTTAATATTGGGTTCTGTCGCTTCTCGACGTTTGCGAGTTTACTCGAGAATAGAGCGGAGAGGATTGTTCTTAAGAACAGATTCTATTTCATGGAATACCAACGGCACTACTATTAACACTGACAGCACTCTCGCGTTCACCCGGCTTTTATATTTTGCGATAGCTTTGGTTGCGTCAGATAATACTCACGTAGTTGAAAAGAAACGAATGAGTTTCATACGTAACTTATATATATTATATAGTTATCTATGTGTACATCGGTATTGTAATCGTGTGTACGATAACTTTGCACAATCTGTAGAACATTTGAAAACGACCACGGATATTTTAATGCCGACCGAAGTTTCGGCCACTGAAACGGCAATTGTTTTTGTGGAAAATAAAATTGTTTACAGCGTCCGCAGATACCCGGAGAGAAACACGTATGAAGCAACCTGCGCCGATAGTGATACAAATTCTAAAATTCCGTGACTCCGATCGATGTCCCCAGGTTTATCTCTCCGGATTGTGAAACGCGGGAAACTACGAGAGGAAGAAAGAAAAATTCACGGAAAGCATCGGGGAAATTGGGATATTCAACGATCGACGGTGATTCCGCGTGATCCGACTATCTGACGAAAGAATCTACTCGACTGTCGGCCATGATGTAACATGGTTTGGCGTTACATCGCCGTGAATGAATGGCGAAAATGATGGTGATACTGACCCGATTCCACAGCCGTCTTCCATTTACGTAACATATTTTCGTTATAATTGCACTGGCTCTGCACGTGAAAAGCTTCGGGCGCCATTTTGTATTCGCGCAGCACCTCGAGGAATCTAAAAGAATAATCACCGGAAACGAAATAATATCTTTACGTTTGCATGCAAACACGGCAGTAACATTGACTCGTACTGAACTTCGTTTATATACATGTAAATTGTTTCTTCAAACGAGAGGAAAATTCTCAAAAGAAAAGATTCGATTGTGGATACACGAACAAATCCTGCATAGAATCGAAAGAAAATTCTATAGGGTACACGAAATAGTATGCACATTGAAACATTTCGTCCAGTCGCCATCTTGGCGCCGCTTGATCGCGCGACGTTTGCGACTAAACACTTAAATGATTTTTTAAAACGATTAATCAAAATACTGAAAAATTCAACAAACTTTAATCGTTACGAATCAGAACGCTGTACGATAGTGGTATTGTTATTTCCTAAATTCGTGTGCGATTTTCATTTTCACTCGGCAAATAATATATAAGGAAAGTGAAAGTTTCCTTTAACTCCCTCTTTGACAATTGTCAATTCGTAGAATTCTGAGTCACGCTGGCTTAGTGTCAACAATTCGAAACAACAACCTGCCTTCAGTGGTATTGTCTTGAAATAATCTAACCGATTCGCGATTGAAACAATCGGAATAAACATTCCTAGTCACAATTTCTGAAGGCGTGTTTGTTACGGTTGATAGCCGAGCTGTCGAAGCACGCCCCGTCGACGGTAGTGGCTCGTTACGAAATTGATCTGAAGCGTGTTTCTTCGATAGCAAATTATCTCCGCGAGACAGAAACGCATCCTACTTCGATTGTTTTCCCAAGCGTATCGGCTCGTCATGGAACGTATGGGAAAACCCTTTGTTGCCAGCACAGAAAACTGCACCTATATAGGTAAATACTCGTTCGGCTTTCCCCTAACTCAATGTTCCGAGGGGAAACCTGCAAAACAATTCACTTTCGCATGAAATGGGCGAATCGGTAAAGAACCGGTGACGCACTATGAAATTCCGTGTAAATACAGATAATGCGAGTTTGCCGTTGCACCATTTTCATTTATTCATACTTTTGTGTACATTTCTCCTCTCCTCTTATTTTTCTGGTATAATACAATGCAACAGAATTATTTTGTGCAATGAAAATGTTCATTGTTTTTATTACTTGCGTGTACATTTCTTCTACCTCCTTTATTTTTCTGGTATAATATAATTCAATCAAATTATTTTCTACAAGAAAAATGTTTATTACTTTTATTGTTATAATTATACAAATTGTTAAGAATTCCGTGCACAATGAGTAGCGCCGTGGTCGTGGTAATCTTATCGATTATCAAAATCGATCAACAGCTTGAAACTACCCGTGCAGAAGGATAGCTCGTGATGGAGATTTAATGACCCGTGACACTTGCATATCTCCGGGAAATAAAAGCTAATTAATCTAGCTCGATAAATTCTGCTTGTATCGGCCATCAGGCTGACGTATGTATACACACACATATCACGAATCTGTCCCCCCACTAAAATCTCGGGAGCACGCCACATTCTTTATTTTTGCGGAACGTTAATCTAACGGTTGAAATGTCGTAAGTATTATTCTGATGCAACAAACGGGCAGAATTTAATCGGCTGCGTTTTTCCCAACGACGACGTTTCACTTACTGATAAATAGTCCGTCGCCATGTTCGCTTGTACACCTCGGAAAATTACCTAGGAAGCTTCTATCTGACACGATAGATACAATGCATAAAATTTCATAAAATTTCATTCGTTACATTTTAATTAAACGTACTATTTAAGCAATTTAATATTTCTTTCTATTTGTTTTTGATATTACGCGCGCCAATTGAATGTTAATTCATTCAAATTTTTCGTCTGATGAAAAGTAAAGTAGAAATAAGTATTTAGTACCGTTTCGGTAAATATGCGCGTGAAAAAGCAATTACTAGTAATTTTAGATTCAAGCAAACGTCTTTGTGCTTCGTATTAAAAAGAAAATCAGTTTTAAAATTACAGTAAATTATAAATTCAAGTAGTTAAAGCACATAAATAGATTACACTAGACAAGCCTTTCTTTAAATAGATTTCTTCCGCGTTTCTTTCCCCGCATCTTATCCGTGCGAGTTGCAAAGCGTGTAGCCAGATTAGCCCGAGCGTTTCGCAAGTACGCAACTTTGTTCTTTATTTCGGCAGATTCCCTTCTGACAGCAGATAAATTCGAGATAACCGGGAAGAACCGTAAACAGGTTATATTATTGCATCGCTTCCCCGTAGTCGCCGACGAGATTGCGGTACCAACGGCGATCAAAATAATACGTAAAGGCGTAAATGACTAGAAAAACAGGAAACACGCTGTTTTCAAACGTTCAAAAGAGAGAAAAAAAACAGGAGAATCGCAATCATCCTTCGTGCGCACTGTTTTTACACGGATATAAAAACGGCCTCGAACAGAAATCGAAATCTGCGTTAACAATAAACGCGGCCCGCCCCTTTCGATCGACGAGTGTTTACACCGCGCGCGCCGGCTACGCGCGGGCACGCGTGTCGACATTCTCCGAGACGGCAGACAGCGTGAACACATGCCCGAAGCTGTTGTTATTTATCTTAGTGACACGAATACGCTGTAGTTTCGAGATGAATTACGTAACGAGCGCAATTGTAGCAGAAAGATAAATTGTATCGGTCCCGCCGAAAAAGAGGAAAAAGATGGAGGACGAGGTTCTCACGATAAACCACTGCCGATGTATACGATAGCTCGATGACGTTTCACGGCTCGCCGCGGTTCAAGAGAATCAAAATAAGAACAATTACGAAGCAGCAGAGCAGATAATATTCCGTCTAGTGCAATAATGTTCTCAGCTTTCATTTGCTAATGACACTTGCAGCGGACGTCAACGCGATAATGGAGGATTGGCAATACGGCGGCGACGTTCGTCAAAGGGAACAAAACACGTTCGAGCAGGCGTGCTTCGGGTCATCGCATTCTTTCATTCATCAAACGCATCTGTACGATACGTAACGAAAGTTGCAAGCCCGATTGTAACATTTTCACCGCGATTAATCAACGCAATATGTTTCACCGTAGCGAAATACATTTCACTAAATTTAATTCTTATCTATTCATATTCTTTCTTATGCAACATAGTGATCATCGGCAAAGTTATTACTATTATAAACTATTCTATAGATATCCTGAGTTGCACAAATAACGCTAGCTTATCGTACGCCGCAAGGTTACCGATCGACTTCAATTTCTACGGTTACCGATCATCGTATCTTTCATTTTAATCACGAAAAATTCGTTTAACTCGACATCCTCAATATTAACCGCACCGATACTTTGTAGATATATCCTATGACCCATCCCTGCCGTGACTAGTCAACGAACTAGCTGCAAAATCAAGGTAAATAAGTTCCATGACAAATTTCTCTCTGCGAGAACAGAAACAAAAGGACAGACGAAAATTGAGTGACAGATTATTCGAATGATACAGGGACCGATATAAAGTTACACGAACGAAAATGAGTTAAATTTTCTCTAAACAATGTACCCCAAACAGTATCTCGCAAGGAAATGCTTAAAAATTCTTGGCGACGCGAAGAAGCGCTTAGAAACCATGACCGATCGTGGTCCCGGATGAAAAATCCGAATGGGCCAATTTCTCGGCCGGAGGATCCGCGGCGCGATTGGCGAGACGGAGATGGCGAAACGTACTTAACGAACGGAGAAGTTCATTAAAAGCGAAACGACATTAGCCGACCTAAAATCAACTCTCCGACGATTCCGCTTACGCCTGCTTCCCACCTGAAACACTGAGAGCTCTACAGGTGAGACGGGAGGGGAGGGAGAGCGCCTGGCTACGAGTGCGCGCGGATAACGGAACAGATGGATGAAACGTCGGCGAGGGGGACGAAGGGGACCCGACGAACGAGGAAAAGAGAATGAGAGGAACGGGGAAGATGCTAGAAAAGGAGATGGAGGAGAAATCGTGTCGCAGGCAAGGTAGCTCGCCGGCAAAGAGGTGAAAAAGACGGGGACAGGTCCGCCGATAGGAAATAGATCCTCGCGATTGGCGGTAGAACGAAACGAGGATCGGGAGGTGAAGCCGAGGCGCGCGAAAGGGGAACGAAAAAAAGGCCCATCTCCTCACGGGAGATTGTCTTCCTTCGAGGACTCCGTAGCCCCTCCGGTGACGGCTGTCGTTAGCCTTAATAGAAACCACTCAGCGACTATGAATTGCCTACCGATTATCCTGCAAATTTCATTATTTTCCCGCTGGGGAACAGGCTGTCGCGCTCTTAACCGTCGATCCGGATCCACCGAGGCTTCCTCGGGCTACACCGACAACGAGAAATTTCCCTTTCGCGTTTTTCCGCTGCA